ACGTATCTGTTTGACTATAACCAACTAACCGGATTTTTCTACATAATGAATCTATCTTATCACAGCACCAGAGGGAGTTTCACATAGAGAATTGCAATACTAAATTGCAACTGTCCATTTGTCAGTGTAAGCCTGCTTGGAAGTGGGAGGGCTGCCATTTTAGCAAACAAGGCCAAGGAACAGTATTAAAAGAAAACTATGTATGCTAGTTCCATGGGGGAGAGAGAGAAATTTTGGCAAGAATTGTAGTGTGTAGCCCTCCTCCTGTCTTTCTCTTATATCATCCTTCCTGCCCGCCTTGTACATGCCTTTACAACCACAAGAAGAAGAGTATTGAAATAACTATACAAAAAATTCTGCCCTCTTTTCATGCTGGGCTTCCTGAATGTCATCCCTCCTTTTTTTCTAGTGTTCTGTATTGGTCTCAGTGCCCTCACATAATAAATGCTATCTAAAAAGTCCATAATTGACTAGATCTTCTTCTCTTTGTGTAACAACAAGCAAAACACGGATGCCCTATAGACAGCACCACATCAGTAAGGCAAGGTACTCACAATTTGCATTTGCTTAAAAAGCTTATACTCATCAGGTACAGTTCAAACCATCTTCACATGAGAGAGTTGTTCAGACAAAAAGAAGGGCATCAGTGGCTCCAATGATATGAAGACATCTGAGCACAGCATCTCATTTCCCTACTTGCATTAACGTTTTCTAACATGACACCTTCAAGCCTCTTCTCACAGAAAGAGGGACAGATGAAACCTCTGTAACCTTCTTTGGATTTTAATTCCTAGGCCCACAACTATAGAGCCCTGGATTAAACATCATTCATTTAAAGAAAATACGAGGTAACACAACTCGTATCAGTACACTCCTAGATCTCACAAGGGATAGGGAACAGAGGTTTTCTATGTAACAGAGATTACACCATCAAAACATCTTTAAAAACGTAACTTTTTTCTATTCACTGAGGCACAAAAGGAAGGCTGCTCTGCAATGTAACAGCTCCTCTTTAAATATCAGTATCAGATTCTTTACCTGTGAATGGTCAATAGCATAGAACTGATTTAAAGTAAAATTTAAGTAACTCATCTCAGGACAGAAAAGGAGAATATTCATGTGGTTCAAGTACATGACTACACATCTTGCTAAACTGGGCTCAATCACTGATGACAGAATGGGCAGGTTTTGGTGGGTGGAAAATGGTTAAAACAAAGTACTTCTGAGAAAAACAACATTCATTTACCTCATCTGTGGTTCGGAAAAGGTCCATTATGTCCTTTGACTTTCTTGGCACCATGGAGGGCTCAAAGTGCACCAGTCGATACGGCTGTGAATTCAGGAAAGTGGTGATCCACTGAGCCACTTCATCTCCACAGTCCCTGCCTTGGATATCCAGTCCAAACACCCTGAAGAGTCACAAGACCCAGCAGCAAGTTATCTGGAAAGTCAAACGCTCAAGGATGCTTATTATTCAAAGGCAAACAACTTGTTTCAATAGCCTTAGCAACACCCAGTAAACAAACTGCCTGGATTATAGTGAGGTGGAAGTTGGTTTCTGAATTTGGCACAAGGATGACTCCCAGCGTGCAACCTCCTTGGGGCCACCCTGTTTTGAAAGCTAACTAACATGGATGTGGCCAGACAATACCAGCTGGTGAAAGAATGAGCCATGAAATAGCCTTTAGGTGCCCAGAGCTAACTGTCATATCAATGACCAATAACAAACCCACCTGTGACATACTTTCAAGCAAAAAAAAAAAAAAAAGGTCTACTCTTGTATTTGCATGCAACCACAACCCCGGAAGATTTCTACCCAGAAATCAACTCAAAGGTAATTAATTCATTTCAGAAAATGAATGACAGTTTGAAAGGATGTGGTTAATTACTGTAATTGACATTTACAAGTGTTATTAATCCTAAACGTCCCTGATTGTCAAGGAAGCTTTCCTTCAGATTTCAGTGCTGTAAAAATTTAGCCAGGGATAAGTGAAACTCTTAAGCTCAAACTTAGCATATAGAATATTCAATATCTTAAGAGAGGTTAAAGATTTATAACTGAAGCAAAGTCCATGGCGCATAAAAAGCCATTGGCAGGAGAATACAAACAGATTTATGCAAAGAACACTTTCCTGGCAAGATAAGGTAAACCTCAACTCAACTTTTCAATAAACTTCAACACCAGCCACGAACAGCTTCACTGCTCTCTTCAAAGCAGCTATTTTGACCCAAATGCACTGCAGTTTCCTCTACCTCCGCAATCACATCCTGGACAGCTTAAAGCATAGAGATGCCCAGGCAGCTCATCTATCCTCAGCCCAGTGCCTAGGAGCCCTGCTTTACCTGTCTCGGGGAGAGGCAAATCATTAGGGTGCTGGCAGCAATATTGCTGCCATTTGCTGGGATCACTGGGTACCAACTCTGTAGCACAGGTTGGGATTAAATGCCATTGCCCCAGGCAGCATCGACTGCCTTTCCCTTCCCTCCGTTCTCTCAATCCCTGCGTGCCTTCTGGCTGGCAGGACCACAGAGGTGACAGGCTTACAACTTCCAACGCTACTGTTTTCCACCCACGAAGCAGACCTATCCTGAGCACTCGGTGGTATAGGGATCCATGGGAATGGATGATGCAATTTAAGTATTGCAACACATACTGACAAAGGTCACAAATATGTAACACGAGGCTTCTTAACCAGAGGGTTATAAAAAAACCCTAACATTTGCACAAATAGAACCCAGGTCTATACAAAGGCTTCAGTCCTACATCTGACTCCTCCAAACACAGGATTTTTAAACCTAAAATCTGCAACTGGACTTACCATTTTTGAAGATTAGCATCTGCACAGCCCTTTGCAGCCAGACGCACTATCACACTGCCTCAGCTCCCAACCACCAGGCAGCACCCATCTGAAGGCATCGTGCTCACCCAGTGGCAGAATAAACACAAGACTGTGCAGAGGGCCTTGCCAGCAGTGCGTACAGCACAGTAAGACCACTACTCCCACTCACAGCCTGGAAGGCAAGAATGTAGGAGCAAAAACCAAATCTTCTATCTGTCTGAACATCGTACTGTTCCCAAAACTCATTCTTACAAACGGCTGAAGGGATCAGAATCAGCCTTGAGCTGACAACTGGAAAACTGTTTAAGCGGAGCAGTGTCATCCAAAACCTCAGGATTCTTCCCGAGAAGTACAAGGCAATGTTTCACTACGGGTATTGCTAATTTCACATCCTGTGACAACACCAACAATACCAGACAACTCGGGAATTTTTAAAGTCCATTTCCATACGTCTAGCTTTTGCTTATTCGCATTCCCAAATTCTAGCAGTTTTAAAGCTAGAGGGTGCAATAGTTTATTAAAGCAAAGCAAGGGGGAAAAAAAAAAATCAAGAGAAGAACAAATCACTGAGATCTGAAATTGGAAAATCCAAGATAACTTTTCATTACTATAATGTATTTAGCCTATTTAAATATTTTTCTAATGGCATAACAAATTTAAAAAAAATAAAATCTTGAAAATTGCATGGTTTTGTAGCATATATGTAATTGGCTAACACATAGGCATCATAAACAGGTTTTTAAAAGACTGCTCTATTTCACTATCAGTAATGCTATCATTTGTAACTTGCACCTGCCTTGTATAAACAGAGATACTGAGCTATGCTGATCAAGGGTTTCCACAGCAACAGATTTATGCTAAAAGCTAGAGAATGCAGTTTTTTTCCAGCACTCCCTCAGTTTTAATTATAGGAGCTGACACATTAACCTCCTCTGCTATCCAAAGGAAAAGGGGACAACACCACTTGAAGTTACTCAATAGTCTTACATACTAATATAGCAGAAACATTTTAGCAGAGAAAAGGTTTTCTGCTTCCCCTTGGCAATTTTCCATCATGGATTTCAGTACTGGGCTTGCATTCTTACTCTAGGTACACAGCTAAATTACTATGTTTGTACCCCATTCACCTGAAATCCCTTTGAGGTAGCACCTACGGGGAATGACTTGCTCTCTGGGGATGCCCATCTTTCCCCTGTGACCACAGAGTGAGCCTCAGGCAACCAAGCTTTTAATTTTGGCACCTCAGTTAAATGTCTACAGACAGAGGTGAGGGAATCTAAACTCCAACATCTCACCAATTCCAAATGACCAGTGTGTATCCAAAAACGTTGATGCATACACACACTAGTGGTGATGAAAAAATACCAATACGCAGGACTGAGGATCTGAGATGCAATTGCTCACCCAAGTAAAAATGAAAACACCAGAAGTAAACACGACATTCTATGAAGACTGAAGATCACAGTTCATTTGGCGTATGTATAATGTCTTTGAATATTGTGTCATCTTTTGCTCCAGTGTCTAGCAGATTAAAACTAGACCTTTTGTTATGACAATCAATCCTGGCCTCCTGTGTAACACACAGCAGAGAATTTCACAGAACGGTTTGGCTTGAAAGGGACCTTAAAGATCATCTAGTTCCAACCCCCCTGTCATGGGCAGGAACACCTTCCACTAGACCAGGCTGCTCCAAGCCGGCCTGCCCTGGACCCCGGCCGGGGGGGGGCCAGCCACAGCTGCTCTGGGCAACCTGTGCCAGTGCCTCACCACCCTCACAGTGAAGAGCTTCTTCCTAATATCTAATCTAAACCTACCCTCTTCTAGTTTAAAACCACTGTCCCTTGTCCTGTCAGTACAGTCCTTAGTCTGAAGTCTCTCTCCATTATACAGATGGGGAGGCATACCCCCACAGAAAAGAAGCAGGCAGAAGCACCCAACTCTGACACTTCAGTTTCCAAGTAAGAAAACACAAACCATCACACGGTCTTGAAAAGCAAAGCATGAAAGGGAGAGAGAGATTTAGAGAAGGGAGGGGAAAAAAAAAAAACAACCTTCTTTAGTACCTGCAGTTCTGCACAGGATTTTTCCTGGGGAGCTTTACAGGCAAGCACAGCTTCTTCATTTCTGGGGCTTCCAAGGTCAAGTACCCATTTTCACAGCCGACAGAAATAAGGACGAGCCGGGGCTCCTGGCGAGCTGTAACCATGTGCCCATCTTCCTTGGTCACAAGCCAAAACCTGCAGCATGACGGGGGACAGACACGCGTTGAAGAGCATTAAAGGCCGACGCCGGGCACAGGGCACCCCCGCAGCACCGCAGAGCGCCGGGCACAGCGGCAGCACCACAGCAGGTGCCTCTTCAAAGGCGCTGCACAAAAACATTAACAAACGCGGGGCCAGAACCGAGGCCTGGCAGGAGGGCCTGCCCGCGG